CCTTGTGGCTGCATCTCGCTAGTCAGAGTAAAAGCCAATATTCAGAATGCAAAGTCAGATTTCTTTGGACTGGTATTGCTTTTGTGGCAGTGTAATGTTGAAGTGTGTGTATGTATTTGGTATATGTATTATGTATGTATGCATGTTTGCATGTGTGTGTGTGTGTTGTGGGTGTGTAAACCAGTGGTAGATGTCTGGTATCTTCCTCCATGGCTTTCAGCTTGTTTTTGAGACAAGGTCTTCGACTGAACCTAGAGTGCACCTGGGGAAGATTAGCTGCCCAACTCTGCAGGGATCCTCCTGTCTCTGTCCCTTCAACACTAAGATTATAGGAACAGGTCGCTGCATTATATTATATGTGGGTATCAGGGACCTGAACTTCGGTCCTCATGTATGCATGGTAAACACTTTACTGACTGAGCCATCTCCCCAGATTGAAAGCTCCTAAGTAAAGCCATTGTAATTCAGACACTCATATTTATTCTTGGATTAATGAATATTTTCTCATATAGTTAGTTTGCTTTTAAATGTTCAAACACTAATGTTGTATTCAAGGTTCCCTACTTTCTGGCCTCTCACCGGCTTTTGAATTCCCTATGTCTCTGCATCATTCCTTAGCTTCACCCTGTCTATTCCCTGCCTTGACTGGATTCCGGGTGCTGCTCCCTCCACACCCATGCCCGCAGTCAGACAGACACACTGCTGGCCCATTGACTCAGCACTTGAGAGAGGCTTTTCTTCTTCCTGCGGTCACCCTCCACCTGAGACTATTTTCCTTCTCTCCTTCCTCAAGGGGAAGATGAACTGACCCCTCCCCGGGACAGGCCACCTAGGCTCAGCACCAGCGTGAGCAACAACAAAAAGACACCAAACATATGCATAGCTTTTTACATTTAATGGCCCTTTAAATGATCAGTTCCATTTCCCAGTTGAAATATTTACGGATGTTAATTTTTCTATTATTTACTTTGCAGCTTCCCTGTCTTCCCTCTGTGTGCTAGCTCTAATTCTGGGGTTTGGTCTAGGAGAAATGTCTAGTAAAGTGAGCTTGGGACCTCCACAGTCCTCATGGGAGCCCTTTTCCCCCCCCCCCCCCCAGAGTTCTCTAAGTGTGGGCATGACAGTCTCCCACTGTCTCTTTTAAACTGGGATGTATAGAGCTGGGGAGATAGCCCAGAGGTTAGCAGCATCTGTTCTTGCAAGGGGCCAGGTTTTGATTTACTGCGTACACAAACTGATGTTTATGAGTTTTTCTATTGAGATGTTTCTCATTTAAGTCCTGTTTTTGCTTTGTTTTTCCTGTTAGCTTCTGAGTTCTGGAGGAGAGATAGTTGACTTCAGTGAAAGTATTATCCACATTTAACATAGTGTCTTCAGCATCTTTTGCTGTTAACTTACTTCAGGTATGTCCTGACTTTTCAATCAATTGTTCCCAGCAACCATAGAGGGTGGCTCACCACCTGTAACTCCAGCTCCAAAGAATATGACACTCTCTTCTGGACCCCTCTGGCAGCTGCATTCATAGGTGGGCATGCCCCCACCCCAACTGTTGTACACATATGCCTATAATTTAAAATGAATTTCAATAATAATAATAATAATAATAAAATAAAGCACACAGTCTGTGGGAAGGTCTGTGATGGGGTGGGGACCAGGCCAGATATGCTGGCACTGTAATCTCAGCATGCAGGAGGTGAAGAAATCAAGATCAGGAATTTAACGGTAGCCTAGGTTGATCCTGTCTCAAAAAACAAACAAACAAACAAAAAAACCCAATAAATAAAAAAGCCTAGAGTGCTTGGGAGGTGGTAACATTCTGGTTAGAGAATTGGAGGGGGCTTTCTCTAGCTGGGGATATGAGTTGGTGTTATGTAAATTTCCTCTAGAGCTAAAACAGCCCATCCTTCAGGGAAGCTCCTTAAGCAGGAAGATACACAATTCAAAATAGTTTCAGGAAGTCCCTGAAATTGACTAGATTCACTAAGTCCCTCCCTGCCAGAGGAAGCAATAAAAACTGAGAGTCCTTCTCAGAGGAACAGGGCCAAGCCAGAAAGAAGACTCTGAGACCAGACCAGTTGTCTGGAAGAAGCAGAAACCAGCTGAGCTGCCTGGAAGAGGTTTGGAGCAACTGAGGCACCTGAAAAGGACCCTCTCCAACCTGTCAAGCTGCCTACAGGCTGTGCACTGCAATGCAAGTTCCCAGCTTTGTGACCTGTCACTCAGGCTGCGGTGGGCTCTGGTGATGCAGCCATTCTGCTTCTCTAACCCCCTCCCCCATCCATACTCCTGTAAGGAACACCAATAAAACTCACTGGTTACCAAGCTGGCCTTGGTGGTATGTGCACTTTCATCCGTCAAGGTTCTCTGTCTGAGCTGAGTAGACCTGTGTGTTGCATCTCCCCAGGAAACGTTTTGTCTCACGACACCTGGGTCTTGGTAGACAGATCACAGCAGGTTACAACCTTACAAGCCTTGGGAAAAACGGAAAGGAGAAAGGAAGAAGGGGGAAATGCAGATGTTGCATGGAGTTAGGCTGAAGTTCTGAGAACCACCGGTACATACCGTCCCTCTTCCCCTGTTCAGTTTGGAACAAACGAATTAGTTGGAACAAACGAATTAGCAAAATAAAGAGTAGCAGATGGTGCCCACGGTGCCACCTTCATTATTGATAAAGGTAAAAAGCTGGAGGAGGCTCCCTAAGATGAAAGGCCAGCGGCACTGACAGCTCTGCCAAGGGTGACTTGGGTTGTTCCAGTGCGATGCTGGGCCGTTGGACCTGCCACTCAGCGTCTGAACGTCTTCAGCTGAACTTTTCAGCTCTGAAACTCTAGGTTGCTGGGTAAAAACAAAAGGCATGTAAAAGCTGAATTAATTATTTACAACTGTTTATTTTGGACGATCCTTCTCTTCCCGCCCTCCCTCCCAACACACAAAAAGCATCCTAGGTTATTCAACCTAATCTCCTAAAATGAGCTGCAATTCCACTCCATGACAATTCAGGCGGCTCTTCGTAGTACACAGGAGCCCCAGGAACCTCTTGGAAGGTTCTAAAAGTTAAGATGAATGAGACTCAATTTCCAGAGTTCTCTACCTACCTTAGCAGCTGATCATGTTGGACAGACAGTTGGCTTTACTTGGACTCTGGAGTTACCAGTGGAGTCTGGTGGCGAGGAGTGGGGAATATCTGTCAGCTACCTTAGACATCTGGGTTTACTTGGAAGGAAGTGGCATGTATAGTGGAGAAAATGGGGTATGGAGGTGTGGGGAAAAGAGGAGGGTGAGGAGCAAGGGCTTCTCGAGGTTGCAGGTTCCTGAAGAAGGGTGCTTCTGAAGGAGCCTGAGTTTTCCAAACTGAATCACTCCCAGCATTCCTGCAGACAAACTGCAAACTCAGCACTTCCTGCTGTGCATGCCCTCCTGCGAGCTTTTGCCATGGCAGCAGTAGATCTGTCATTCTGGGCACGGATTCTATTCAAACCAAGAACGAAGGGTGCAAATATTACACACACACACACACACACACACACACACACACACACACACACACACACTCACACACACTCACAGCTGCCAACCGCTCAGCACTTTCTAGGATTCTCACTACAACCCTTCAAGGTCAACATTAGCGTTATTACCACTGTCCAGGCAGGGAAGGGAGGCTCAGCGAGGGAAGTGGTCTTAGTCAGTTGGGAACTTTTGGCTCTCCGCCTTTAGAGATGCGCTCTTCAGGCCGTTTCCAGAAGACCAGGAAGAGCAGGGCATGCCTGCTCTGGTAGGAGAGGGGCAGGGAGAAGCTGCTGGAGAGGTGTGGGCGTTTGTGGTTATTGCTTGGGTCATCTCTTGGGCTACATTGGAGTTATGTGAGCTGAAATATGTATGAGTCTGGGGGAGGGGTAGAAGTTGGTTCTGGAGCCACCGGTGAA